TAATCCAACCCAAGGACATAGGGGGCCTGGGAATCCTGGACCCGGATATTCAGATCGCGGCATTAACTGTCCAATGGGTCAGGAGACTGCTGTTCACTGAGCACCTCCCATGGCATGCCCTGGCGTTCAGACATATAGCCAGACTCGCCCCTCAGGCACTGCAAGGACTTAGCCCTTTGACCTGGCTAGAAGACCACTTTTGGACTGTGCCAAGGCGCCCCCGTAAGGAGCGAGAATCACCCCGAGATGCGGCCCGCTTGGACCTGGTCAGAGACGACTTCTGGACCCGAGTCATTAAAACCTGGCGCCAACTTCCTCTGCCTGATCAACCCTCACCAACCAGGTGGGAGGAGGTAATGCGCCAGCCCCTCTTTGGGAACAGGAAGATAACAGACCGCTACAGCAGGGTGTATCGTAGCTCAGACTCCCTGTGGAATGGTTGGGTTAAAAAAGGAATAATTCGGATAAAAGACATATGGGACAAGGAAGCGGGTGACTGGAAATCGGGGCCACAACGGAGAGCCATACTAAAGTACAATCACAAAATTGAAGAGAATRTTGAATTACTAACCAATSCAGKTCCCCTGGACTGGGTGCGCATTCTACGCAGAGGACCACGGCTGATGGAAGGAGATTGGGTAGCTGCCCCAGGGGACCCGGAGAGTGTGGGCAATGTGGTGGAGGTAAGAGCTGATGAAACGCTGATAAACCTCTTCCATGTTGGCAAGGACAATATACTCACCCGGTATCGTCCTGATGTGGCTCGATGGTGGAAAACAGCGGACCTGCACAGGATACGTGTGCTGCGGGATAAAGACGTTTGGTTCACATACCAGCCGAGCATTCCCCTGATGGAGCTACCCTTGGATCCGGAAGATTGGCAGTGGGTCCCTAAGCGAAAACCCAAAACCGGGATGAACCTTACGCTGCACACTCTACCAGTGAAGGCCACATACCTAGAGTGAACATCTGGAGGTCACACCGGAACATAGGGAACGAGGCAATTCGCCAGATTCGATGGTTCTCGGCCACAAGATCCAGACCTGCAAAGATGGCCTCTCTCCAATGGCAGATCGAACACCGCTGCCTGCCCACCAACGACTGGTTGATCGACCGTACATACCTGGAGCAAAAGGGGCAGGCATTGCCATGGTGCAGGTCATGCCACACAGCCTTTCCCTCCCGCAGAATCCCGAAAACCATAGAGCACATATTCATGCAGTGCCCAGGGGCAGTGCTCACATGGCGATGGTGGGATAGGATCTGGTCTCGGTTGGGCACTGGATCTCACTGGCCATGGGATTGGCGGGCAATTTTATGCGAGGCATGGTCCTCCCTCACTGACAACACCTTCGAAAACAACATGTTCAAGTTGGGAAGAAGAGCGGTTATGTGGACCCTCTGGAGAAAACGTTGTATACATGTTATGGACGGAGTCCGCATAACTGGGGAAGAGTCAACAGATATGATAAGGCAATATATTCAACAAGAAATCACGATACACTGGCAAAGAACGAAAACCCAACTTGACCTATACCATTCTGTAAAGGACATCGCACAAGCAATTAATCAATTTTCTGGGGATTGGCTGGCCAGCGAGAATGAAGGCTGGATCGCATCTGTCAAGTGGGAGGCAGTCTTTGGCTCCTCCCTATTCAGATGGAAGTTATCCTCAGACCCGGTTCACAACACAGGAAGTTCACCTGCACAGTCAATCCCCGGGCTTCCGGGCAATCAATGCTGGCAGGTGAATACAGAAAAAGGTAGATCACAGATGGGCAGTCAATCCCCTCGCCTGAGGGCAATCAATGCTGCCAGCCTACAATAATCTGCATGTTCTGATGACCATCAAGCTGTTCAGGGACGCTGGACTCGATTTCCAGCAGGTGCCGCATACCAATCTAAATGGCCTTTCAATTTCTGTCAAAGTGGCTCGTGTTTATGCCTAAATGCCATGTACTCATATACTGGTAGTCCTTTCAGATTTAGACCCCTTACGACTGAGAGCCCCTGGTAATGACAGTTCTCTCCACTCCCAACCCTTTCTCTCTCAACACGAAAACAATCCTCATTCTCATTTATTTTGCTTTGGGTCTTAATTCCCAAAAAAGTTCAACAGCCTCTTCCTCATTTACGTTAATTATGCATCGTTATCCGTTCTGATTCTTCTGAATTATAATTTCCTGAAAGGTCACCATTTGATTAGCACAGTGACATTATCCTCATCACTGCTCCGCAAAGATCCTTTTTTTTGCTCCACAGGAGATCATTTTGGGATCAAGAACTTTAAGTTGAAGGAAGCTGGGACCACGCAGTTTCCTGAAAAAGTCTCTTTTACTTTCTTTCTGTGATATAAAGGGTGACAGCTTTGAGATGTCATCTTGGAACTGACCGGACCCATTTAAAATCAGAGTTACATCTGGTTGCATTTGGATTCGAACTCGAGTCTGTGTTTCAATCGTTCATTGGTGTACCCACTGAGCTAGGCCAGCTGGTTCTTCACCAGGTTCATCTCAACGGACAGCTTTTCTTCTTAGGACTCGAAGGACTTTTTTGGACAGCTCGGGTTTTGGCGGCACGACAGTTCCCTGGTGGTATTGGGACCACGACGGGCCCGAATGGGCCCCCTCTCGAAAGTAGCAGGGTACCATCGGGTTAACCAGAGTAGGTTAGGACGAAGCGCTTTTTTAAGTTCAAACCCCAAAACAATATCAACACAGAACGCAAAATCCTCTGGTATTCTCGACATGGACGCCAAACGCTGCGACCCAGGGGAGCACGGGAGAAGGATTGCGGGGCGGATGGTAGACACTGGTGGTTATACCTGCTGATCAACCCACGGACACAGGAAAAATGCGTCGGGCATCGCTCTCGAACTAATGAGATTCGCCCTGCCGACCGGCCTAGCTTAGTTGGTACGCCCACGAACTGTTGAAATACAGACCCAAAGTCGAATCCAGATACAATCAGATTACCAGAGTAAAATAGTTCTGAATTACCTGGAGCCAGTCAGTTCATGATATCTCAAGGCCATCACCCTTTCATAAGGGCGGGGGGGGAGGGGCGGAGGGAGAAGACTCCCCCTCATTTCAAGTTCTTTCCAGTTCTTTGTTAATTAAAAATCACTGGTATGCAGTCGTTTCCCATAAACCGGTCCAATCCCAACTCGCTCTCCATCCACAATATTGACCCTCAGGAAACAATCCTCAATACTTATACGCTTCGCAAGATAAGAGTATTGGGAATCTGGCCGAAATCAATATTCCAAATTAGCACAGCGATCCAGGATCTTGAATTCAACCCAGAAGAATGGGCCTGGCTCTCATAAAGCAACAGATTCTGTAAGACTCCCATTCAGATAACACAATACACGGTCAAAATGGGTTACAGGATGCTACTGAAAACGAAGGACCCGGAACGTGTAATCAAGGAGCGATGGTCCAAATTGTTAGGACAGAGAATGGAGCCAATCCCCGAATTTCCCTGGCGAAAATACAAGTCTATCCGGCCAGCCAAAATTAGAAGCCTCCAATGGCTAATTACCTATAATGCCCTCCCAGTGAGCGTTTGGCTACACATCCGAAGGAAGAACAGCGACCCGAACAGCTCAGAACGGTGCCTGGTGCGTTCGGACAACGAACGGACAATGCTATTTCTGCCACGGCTTGGATCTCTCTCTCTCTCTCTCTCTCTCTCTCTCTCTCTCTCTCTCTCTCTCTCTCTCTCTCTCTCTCTCTCTNTGTGTGTGTGTGTGTGTGTGTGTGTGTGTGTGTGTGTGTGTGCGTGTGTGTGTGTGTGTGTGTATACACACATCCCTTAACAAAAAAAAAAGAGTGCATCACCAATTTGCGCAAAGCGCATGGCGCACGCGCACCGAAGAAATGCGCCGCAAGTATGTCATAAACCCATATACTTGTGCGTGAGCAAGTGCGTGTATGTGTCTCTGTGAGACTCCGTTCGGAGGGCCGAGACGGTGTCGTTGAGGATAGGCAGGGGGCAGGGAAGGGACGTCTGCAGTGCAGGTCGGTCGCATAGGGTAGGCCGTGTAAGGTAGGTAGCGCAGGGCAGGCTCGTCCGATTGTGCATGTAGGGGGGGCCTAGGGCAGGTACGTCCAATAGTTCAGGCAGGTCGCGTAGGTGGGCCGGCCTGACTTCTTTTTTCCTTTTTTTTTTTTTTTTTGCCCCCTGACACTTCACAGCCGCAGAAAGAGGCTAAATCCATGCACACTGCTCTGAACCGACCCCCGCACCCTAAACTAAAAAAGAACAAATGAACCTACCCCAGAAACAGACCCAAGTACATGGATCAAAGCACCAGACCTTTGCGTCCTTCAGAGTTTCCTTTTTTTTTTTTTTTTTTGAAGCTTCAATAGCACGGATCTCCTGACTCGAGAAAAGGCATCGCTCCACCACATAACACCGCACATACACCCAGCCCCGTATCTGGACCAAATGCATTGAAAACGGGCCACTCACCTTTTTTTTTTCCCTTCCCCCAAAGGGCTCAAACACATTTCCTCGCCGCGACAGGCATGTCGGATTTCACATCAGACATCTCACAATCTTTCATCTTAGGGCTGGCCGCGATAGCGGCAAATCACATGCGTGCCGACATTTAGACGTTGTGGAAAATTGGATGCAAGACGACAGCCGCAGATCACACATCGTATGGGGTCGGCACCCCCCAGCGGCCTCCATGTATGCAGCCAGCATCCCGTAAGCATTAGTACGGGCAGAGATAAACTAAAAGAGCGCACTTTGCGAAACAAACAAACGGTACAAAGATTAGAAAACAAGCAAAGATGAGGGGCACACTGAAAACCATTCATTTTTCTCATTCGCTAAATCGTCAGACAGAGCTTTCCAGTAAACCGTAGGCAGAGAGGGAGAAGAGGACAACAAACCAGGGGTTGCTGTAGATATTGAAGAAGAAGAAGAAGAAGAAGAAGAAGAAGAAGAAGAAGAAGAAGGTGCACAGAGAGGGACGAGAACATACATACCTGGTTATCTCGCGCACAGCTCTGGACGAGAGCGAGGAACGATCCTTGATCGCGAGGAATGTTCATCGTCCGCATCAAAGAGAAGAATCGAACTGCTCGATCTGTGTGCGTTTGGCATAATGCCCGAAGCACGCTGACAAATTGCCAATCACAACCAATGAATGATTTAGGAGGTTTAGGGTGTAGGGTTTAGGGTTTAGGGTACAGGAATTCAGGGGAAGAAGGCAACCCATCTAGCAAAAAGCCATAGCCTAACTCGACAACTAGGTTATAACCCAAATGGCCAAACATTCTATCAAACCACAACCAACCAACGAATGATAGGTGTGGGGGCGGGGGGGGCAGGGGGGTGTTGTGGTTAAGAAGGCAGTCCTCGTAGCCAAAGCCGTATCCCAATTTGATAAATGGGTTAACCCAATACTCAGTAAGTTATACACCACTGCAAACCTATCTTTTTGAGAAGGATAAACAACTCCACAAATATCGATGAAAACTCAAAATCTTGTGTTTGTAATACTTTGTATGATTTGAAAAACAACGAAGGAACATTTGAAAAAGATTTCCTGGGTTGGTACACATCCAAATTTCCAAATGGCCGGCACAGCAGTAATCGACAAATTTAGGCAAAAAATCCGCAAAATACAAGATCTAACAAAGACAATCACCATCTTTCCGGTCAAAGGTACTGGCACTGGGGAACCATGGGCTATGTACTTTTTCAAAATAGAAGGCATGCTCAATATACGAAATTGCGTTGGCTATCCTGTTCCGGAAAAGCTTTTTGTGTCAGCTTCATAATCCTCACCAGGCTCAGCATCATCTCCCGTACCAAAAAGCCTCAGCGGTCCTGCCGGACATCCGTTAAAATTGGAATGATGCCGAGAAGATTATCATGGCCCCTGCGCAAGGATGACATGCATAAATCGTCGACAAATGGTCCAACGGAAAGGAAAAAAAGCCCCAGAGGAAGTCGGTCGCGCTTCAGGAGGGTTTCATCATTGCTTTTCCACTAAAAGGCGCTACCACTACCCAACTTTCTTCATTCCAGTGACGCAACGGACGGGAGACAGTATAGGGCCCACAGCACACTGCCTTTTCGATGCTTGACTGTTATGTATGGACCTGGTCTGGAAAAAGAGGCAGCGTTCAACTGGTGATATGTTCACGCTAGGAAAGCATGAACGTGGACACTATTACAGTCAGGTTCATTCTCCAACCATGAACATAGCACCAGTGGGGCACTGGGGGGGTACCAAGGGCTTGGGCCCACTGAATTGATCCTTGGCATGCACACCTGCTCTGGATTCGGCAATCGAAAACATTTCTAATTTAATGCTGCAATGATGACCCCATGGTACCACCAATAGAAAAAGTACAAAAAACTAAGGGGTGCCACCACGGCCCCAAGGACTGCGACTCAATCAATGTTCTCATCCAAAGTAAGGGCATCGCCACACCACTCTTGAAATGTGCGAAATGAGAATGAACTTCCCGCTAGAACATGGCCAGATGCACCCGCCACATTTTTGTCTTTTTCACGTTTTGAGACTCTCAAAGAACTGTAGCCATCACGTTTAGACAAGGGTAGGAGAGAAGAATGCTGCATGACGCAGCTTATATTATCAAAATTATGTTTACAAAGAGTGCCAATGTTCCCTGAACTCAAGCGCACTCCCAGCTCATCACATATTCAGTCCCCAACGCATCAAGACAGCATGTACACTACAGCGCTGCCTCTGGAGATCACGTCTCAGTCCAGGTAAGTATCCTCCATAGCCCAAAGCTCTTGAACACCTTCTGATGTAGTTCCTTCCTCCCACGTATGCATGAACACTCTCTCTTCTCTCTCAAGGACCTACTCTGAATGCATCTCACGGGTCTTCCTCTTCTAGTCTGTGCTAGGCAGCTATGGCTGCTCCTACTACTAACATCCTGGCCAGGCAGCTATGGCTGCATCATCCTGCACCAGCGCCCAACCTCTGCCTTCAGCGCCACTTCCAGCTCCAGCGCATCCTCCTCCTCCCACCAAATAGCGCACAAGTGGCCAGCACTTCCACGCCAGTGGGGAATCTGCCACAAATGAGGCAAGCAGCCTCCTTTATAGTGCTGGATTCCACGTTCAGCATCTGAATTGGCACTTCGGCCCTGTCCCAGGCTTGCATTGCATGTGTCCCAGTGATATCCCAGAAAGGTACTGCTGCTTTTTGGCCTTCGGCCTGTATTTCGGACAGTAGGACTGGATCTGGACTGCCTACAGAACTTAATTCAGTACTGGGACTTTACAGTTGTCTTGACCTTCGAACAGACACAGCAAATTGACGAACAGACACACAACCTATTCGAATAGACACTTTATATTGCACGAAAAGGCACTATCTGCACAGCCCTTTGACACACCCCTTCGGACAGTTTCCAGCATGCCTTTCCATAAGACTTTTCTTTCTTTTTG